TTACCTCCGAATTCGATATTGTTTTTGCCGTTCACGCTTCCTGCGTATTCGGATAGGTATTCGTTGATGGCTACGTATTCGTAGCTCCCCGGTAGCAAGCTTATGGTTTCGAACGTAACTCCGTTATCCGTCGATATTTTTAGTTGATTGTTTTTTTCGTTGATGTTTCTAATGGAATTGTAAACGGAGAAATACTTTAATCCCAGTTCGTACTGTTTATTGCGATAGAGTTCATACTCGTAGTCTAGAGACAATTTGATGTCTGGTTTATTCGAGGTGATAACGAACAATTGTTCTTTATTGGACATTTTTAATGACGTTTATATAGTCTTTTTTAGTGATGATTTCTTTCTCCAAAAGCCGTTTTAATATGGCATTGACTTCGTTGTACTGTCTGTCCGATCGATGACCTTCCTTCATGGCCGCTAATATTATTTCTAATCTATTAAGCAATTCTTTATTGTCGTCGGATAAAAACGTTATGCCACCATATCATCGAATTCGTCTATTTCTTGTATGATTGGTGGATAATCTTCTGCATAATCATCTGATTCCTCTTCCTCAGGAATAACTTTTGTTATATAAAAATCAACTTCTTTCAATCTTCTTGTTTCGGGTCCTGACTTTCTGATCGCATGTAGAAATTTTGAGTATGCTACTAAATCCTTGTAATCGGCAATATCAACATCCTCGCCATTCATTAAATCTATTAACCCTCTCGTTAATGTAAATATAAAGTCTTTTGTGTCGATTTTGAATTGTGGTGAATTTCCACTAAATATTATTCTAAATCCATTGAACAACAAACCCTCATCATCAACGATTGGTGAAATGCTCTTTGGTAAATCTGGGTCAGGGTTTGAAAAAAGACGTTTTATATCATCTAATGTCCTAATTATAATAGCATTATATTCAATCGGTTTGGGTTCTATATGAGATGTGGGTTCTAAAGCTAATTTCTTTTTAATATCTTCTTGAGATTTAAATATGGGTTGAAATAGAGTCTGTAGATTTTTCGTTAATCCGAGTTGTTGTAATCTGTTATTTTCAACTTGGGTCTTTATTTTATTCTTAGCTTTGATATATTCTCTATTTCTTTTTAAAATATTATTCCAATCCGTCATTTTTAAAAAAATAAAATTAACATATATCGATCATAACTCTTTCTCCCGCAGGTTTTCTAGTATTTACAAATACATATCCATGATCATTTGGGTTTCTCCATTGAGCTTTACAAACCTTTTTAAATGTATCTCTATCCATTCCGTGATTTATAGACTGAATGATTTGAGATAAACCTTTATCGTTTAATTCAAATAATAAAAAACAATTTGCATTTTTTCTAATGAACATAGAATCCATCCCGTAAAAAGATTGGGATTGGTATATGCAGTGACAGTTGTGATGTCTTCCTTTGTTGAAGAATTCTTGTTGAACAGTTTGATTTCTTTGCGCTACGCAGTCGTCAAACAATATTAAGTTCTTTCGATTGCTATCAATATTAGACAAGTCTAGATCATT